CTGTGAGATTCCCGCTGCTCTTCACCTCTGCCAACCCTACAAGTGAAGCCGCAGGTTCCAACAGCATCCACACCAGCACCAAGCTTTGTGGAAGGGACACACAAAGCTGTGATTACTCTGGTCCCATTTTTTACAAAAGCGCACATGGTCCCCCTCCTGCCTAAGCCAACACCCGCTCCCTGACTCGTATTTGCCCAAGAGTCAGAGGGGCATTTTCTCTATGAAAAATTAGCATGACAAGTGCCATTTTAACATCATCTATGGAAGATTATGCCAAAACTTTATGGAGGAAGTGTATTCTTATGTCCTTTTACATGACAACTCAAGTTTCTACCAAGAACGTTCTAACTGGTGTCAATGGCTATTTGTTTTATAGTTTACAAGAGCCTTGATGCCCAAGAGATCTACCCCTGTCATTTCCTGACACTGCATCTTTGGGAAAGTTACTTATTAACCTCTCTGAACATTTGTTTCCTCATCTGCAAAGTCTGAATATACCCATACAACTTACTAAGTTATTGTAAGGATAAAAATGAAACAAGAAACCCACACAAAGAAACCCACAAAGAATATTCATAGAAACATAATTTGTAATGGTTAAAAACTAGAAACAACCTCTCTGTTCATCACAGCCAAATAGAAAAACAAACTGGTCCATCCATACCATGAAATACTACTCAGCAATGCAATAGGGATGGAAACAGACAACATAAATAAGCCTCCAAATGAGTAAGCTGAGTGAAAAAGGCTAGACTAAAAAGAGTAGGTGTGATTGAAAAATACTGAGTATATTTAAATTTTTAAGAATTTATCACCATAAAAGACACACTGCCATTGATCCTCCTCCCCCTTACTTCAAACACACTTATCCCATTGTTCTTGCCACTTTCTGATGCAGTTCTGGAAGTCCTCTTTCATGAGTGTCTTCAGTTGCACTGTCATGGCTGTCTCAATGTGCTGAATCAGCTGAGACATTTACTTTCGTGGCCATTTGAACTTTGGCGAAGAACCAGAAGTCACATGGTGCAGAGCCAGTGAATAAGGACGATGAGGACACACCTTATTTTTTTTTTTTTTTGAGCCTGTTTTTCCATTGGATGGCATTCAGCAGGAGTGTTCACCGGTATTTTTGATCACACTTCATAAGGACGCTTAAGAAAGAGGACTTCCAGAACTGCTTCAGAAAATGGCAAAAATGATGGGCTCAGTTTGTTCAAAGTGAGGGGAGTATTTTGAAGGGGATTAATGGCAATGTGTCCTTTACTGTAATAAATTTTTAAAAATTTAAACATTCACTGTATTTTTGATTACCCCTTATCTCTACTTTGCAATTCCATTTATATAAAATTCTAGGCATTAAAATCAGGGACAGAAAACAACTCAGTAATTGCCTGAGGATGGAGGGTTGGGACAAAGGAAGGATGAGGAAGGGGCATGAAGAACTTTGGAGCAAGGGAAATGTTTGCATCTCAACATGGTGATGGCTTTATGGGTTTGAACACTTCAAATACATGCAGTGGAGTCCAAGTGTACTGTACTCCCCGCCTTTGATAAAGCTGAAAAAGTAGGCAAAACTGAGGCTGGGAATATAATGTCCCATCACTGGGTTGAGTACACAGCAGGCACTTAACAAGCATGAGCTCCATGCTGGAGAATGGTGAACGAGCCCGTCAGAGAAGCTGGTGAAGCTGCCAGGGCAATGAGTCTGAATGTGTAACGTGTACACCCACATTTACATTTACTGGGACCCAACTAGTAAGGACAGGCTCTTCTCAGCTAGAAAGCACAAACAAGGAAGATAAACAAAATGATAAACTGGGCTTAATCTTTGCCCTGAAGGGAACACAAATAGGTTTAAAATGTAATGTAATAAGAGTGTCAATACAGATGATACTGACAACCTACAGGCGTGCAGAAGAGAGCAATTCCCATGGGACAGATGTCAAGAAGAACTGATTCCAGGTGGGTGAGACCTGGCAAGCATGAGGGGGTGAGGGCTGGTGAAGAAGTGAGGAAGCTGGTAAAGGAGCCAAAGCAATTGTCCTCCAGGCGACGGACCGGGGAGAATTCATGAAGGGCAAGGCCAAGGTAAAGAAAGCTCTGAGCACCAGCTTGAACCTCAACTTCATTTGCCCCGGGGAACCTCCAAAGAGTTGAGCATGATCAGATGTGGGTCTTAAGACAAACAGGTCCTACTGTATCTGGAGGGTGATTTGGCAATTTATCAAGAGCCCTGACATTGACATCCCTCAACTTGGCAATTCCCAAGGAAATCATCAGAAATGTACACCAAGATTTATGTACAACATTGCTTATTGCAATATTATTTATAACAGCTCAGAGCCCAAAATAACTTAAACGTCCAATAAAAGAGGACTGCTGAATAAATTACAGTATGCTGAGTGATTAAAACATACATGGCCATTAAATCATACTTCCACAGCACATGGATGACAGGGTACATGCCTCACTCCACAATGTTAAGCTGCAAAAATAAAAAGCAGGATGCAAAAATATATGTTGAGTATTCATTTGACAAATATTTATTGATTATCTTGTAAGTGCCAGGGTACAGTGGAGAATACAACAGACACAACCCTGTCCCCACGGGAAGGGATTCTACCTCTTAATGACGGAGGCAGACAGCAAGAAAGGGAACAAATGTCAATAAGCAAAATATACAGCTCCTTAGATTCTTAAGAAGCGCTACAGCGAAAATCAAGAGAGGAGAAAGATGAAGAGTTGTGGGGAAGGTAAACATTTCAAACAGGTGCTCAGGAAAAGCTTCAGAGAGAAGGGGTTAGGAAGATGAGGCTAGAGGATCTCTGGGGAGAATCTCCAGCCAGAGAGCTGGGCAGCCCAAAAGCCCTGAGAGGGTCTGGGTGGGGGGATTTCCAGAAAGAGCAGCAGAATAGGAAAGACAACAGGGAGGGAGGTGAGGCGGTGGGTGGGGCCTGAAGCCCCTCTGGGAGAAGTGGGTGGGAGCCCCAGAGGGCTTGAAGCAGAAGAGCTATAATCTGCAGAAGAACAAGAACAGAAGCAGGGGGCCAGGTGGGACTTCCCCAGGGCTGCCCCAGCTCCTTAGAATGGCCATGTATTCAGTTTACAATCAGAAAACAAATGATAATGCAATCAAAGACAGCACAACGCAGAGAAGCCATGTGGCTGCTGCCACAGGAGCCCAGGGAAACAAACAAGGAGGTTGGAGAAGTGATTCCAAAGATGAAGGCGGAAACACTGAGAAACAGAATGGCATATGTTCGTGGAGCCTGATAACAAGCAAAATTACTCTTCTCAATGATAAAAGAAACATAACCAAGATCCAAACACTATGCAAAGGAGAAAAAAAAGGTACATAATCTCTTGTACCGTAACAATCGGTATTTAACATCTTGGAACATTTCCCACCAGTCTTTTTTCCTAGATATGCCTTCATTCCTCCCTTAGTCATTCTCCAGTGCCCAGCACATTATGGGCGCTCAAACAGTCACTGAACAAATAAATGCCTAGCCAAATGCTCCAAGCCTCTTTATGTTACAGGAGCTACATGAGATGCATTTTCAGACACAGTCTGCATGGGCTGAGATGAAAGAATAGTAGCTGTGGGTAAACAGAAGACAGAGTCACCGATGACTGAGATGAGTCAGGTCTGGCTCTGTGACAGGATGGTGATGACACTCGTTTAAAGGGCACCAGAAGGAAGCGACCGGCTGAGGAAGATGGTGCGTTTGGTTTGAGTGACCCGGAAGGGTATAAAGATGTCCTTGCAGAGATGCCCGACTGCCCAGCTCTCTCGGAGCTCAAGAAGCAGTGAAGTCTCAGCATAGGGATGATGGCAGCAGGGAGAGAAAGAGGAGGAAAGGAGGAAGGCAGGGGGAGGGGGGGGGGGTACCAGAAGCCCCTGGTCCCTGCCAGACTGCAGAGAGCTTCACACGAATTCCCTCTTCCAATCTACATAACCACCTAGGTGGGGGTGCTGCAGGCTTGAGAGGCTTGGTGACCTACCCAGTTACTCCACAGTAGCCAGGACTCAAATCCGTAACTATGGGGACACTTCCCACTCATTCTCCTCTATGTCCAGAGGAGCTTAAAACCAGAAGCCAGGGTGGAAGTGACTTAAGATGCCTTAATGTGCAGTTTTTTTTGTTTGTTTGTTTTGGTTTGGTTTTTTTTGGTACCGGAGATCGAACTTGGGACCTTGCGCTTGCGAGGCACGCACTAGAACCACTGAGCTAAATCCCTGGCCCTAATGTGCAGTTTTTGCTCTTAACTTCCTGAAACCCAAAAGGAGGAGTGCCATCTTTCTCTTCCAAATACATATTTTATATACCATCCAACTCACTGGGCTCCTGTTTTCACACCTTTGAGTCTTCTCTCTCCCACAGGAAGCCAGGACATGCGTCAGGACTTCACCACAGCACCCAGCAGAGGCTCAGCACACACTCGGGGAAGATAACCTTGACCATCACTTCCTGTCACCCCATGGCCGTTCCCTGCTCTCTCGGACACTGGACTCTGGGCCACAGTAGGTGACCTTGACTCCCTTTGTCTCAAGTATAACAAAGACAAGCCCAGACAGATAAGAGGACAACAGTGGGCAGGGGAACTTGGGCAGATGGGCAGATGAACACAAGGAGACAAGGCTAGCCTTCCTTTTCCTCAGGTCTTGCTACCAGGGTCTCCAAACTGTCGGCCCACAGGCCAGATTCGGTCTACCCATGTGTATTCCCTGGCTCACACATGGCTTTAGTATGTTATGATTTTAATTAGCTGCTGTCTTTTAAAAAGTCAGAGGTTTTATGTAAAAGTCTGGATTTCTGTAAGCTGTCCCCTAGACAGACCCACCCACCCGGTTCTTCACAGTCCGCACCCCACAGTCTGAAGCCCACCACCTCTCCACTTATCCCCAGAGGAGACCAGACAGAGACAGGCGGGTGGCATGGTGGAAAGGCTAAGCGCTAGGTCGCCAGGAAAGCCAGAGCTGGCTGGCCGGTACTCACCGGCACTCAGCGTCGTGAACTCCAGGAAGCGGTATTCATAGGCCACGTCTACCTTAGTTTCTACCTGAGGCCTCTTCAAAGTTGAGTAGATATTCCCAGGCCGTTTCTCGTCGCGCTTCTCCAACTTGTTCAATCCACAACCCATTTCAGCAGCTGCCCGGAGAATGAAAACAAAAAAGGGGTAAACTTTTTTTCAGAGATTTTGTTTTTAAGCACCACAGTAGAGAAGATCTCTAAAACTCCTGAAGAATACACAGAGGGCCTCAGCCCAGAGGAGCTCAAGAGTGTCCCTTAGCATAGATCCTGAATCCAGAGCACTATGTGCAGGACCCGGACTGCTGTCTCCTTCTCTTAGGACACCATTACCAGCCATCCTGTGGTTTTTAAATGACAACAAAACAACACCTGTTTTATGCCTTGTTTCTTCATCTGAGGAAAATAATACCTCAGAGTGCCTCGGTTCCACTATAATCCGTATACATGATTTAAAAAATGGGACCAGAAAGCAATACAGTGCATTACGGTGTCAGCTGGTCTGTTAGAAAAATAAGAGCTGTGTCACCTTCCTTGTGGTTGCTAAGAGAGAATAATAAGTTGTTGTTGCAATTTCTAAATTCTAGAGTCCTTTCTACCCTCGACAATAATTATTTAGACAAGAGTTTATATTCATAAAACATCTCTAAAAAGTAGATGGCGGTGTTTTTATGGGCCTTGTCTAAAAGTCCCTTTTCTTCTTTTTTTAGACCAATCTGTAGGACATAATAGTATGCTACTACGCTCTTAGAGTCATTTCAGACCAAAATGAAAACTGAACACTAATAGCAGGGCCAGAAAGACTGGGAGCAGAAATTCACATGTATTAGAGGGAAGATCTGTAGCTCCTGTTTGAAAAGAAAATGGAAAAACGTTAAAATCACGTGCATGTAGGGTGAGCTGAGCTACCACTCTCTCATGGGATTCAAAACAACACAAGTTCTCTGTTCATTTCGGCAGGCTGACATTCACGAGATGCCCTTTAATCTGCTCCCCAGACTTGGGGGAAGGTGTTTTCCTGTTGTGAACTGACTATGAGCTCCCAGTGCCACCGCCATCGGTCTAGCTCACGAAAATATCTAATATATTTGGCCAAGAATATCACACATAGAAACACAGTGACTGCTTCCTCTTGGAGATAAGAATTTCCTTCTGCTCAATTCATTCACAAGGTACCCAATTTCCTAAGGCAATTTGGCAAGCTGCAGAAAAACAAACTGAACCTCAAAAAAGCATCGAGGGTGTGGGGCGGGGAGAGTGGGAGGAGGTGGGTGGTGAAGTGGAAAACAGGCCATACTTTTCAGTCATTAAAAAAGCGTCTCACAGAATGCATGGGAACAGGAAGGCTTACTTACGCCTTAATAAGGGAACATTAGTGTCCAAAGGCCCGAGCAGACATGATTTATGGGCAGTCTGCATGGACTGATTACTTGTAAAACACTCTGGAGTTCTGCAGATATAGTAGCTGATGTTCAGAGGCCGCAGACTTAACTGTTGAAGATGAAGCCAACTGGCATCAGCCAGGGCAAAGCAGACAGGAAATGAACAGGGAGGCTGCTGAGTGCTGGGAATAGGCGGCTGGGGTGAGAAGGCACCACTGCCACCAGGACAAGACTGCAGAGGCCAGAATCTCGCCATAGTGCTCATTCAGGCAGACTCCTGCACATCTGTTAGGGGCAAAGCACCATCAGGGATTCAGACAGTGTGGCCACCGCCCTCAAGGTTAGGCTGGTGAGCAAGGAAGGACACGTAATTACGACACAAGACAAGACAAGAGAGGCGGAAGCCCAGAGAGGAGTTTCAGATAGGATTTGCCACACAAATTTGGAATGTGACTGTGTAGAGATGAAGCCAAGAACAAAAGCAGGGAGGCAGGAAAGCCTGCACCGGGGGTGGGAGAGGCAGGGTAGTCCTGCAGGCCGGGAAGACACCCCGGGGGTACGGGTGTCAGGGAGTCAGGGCCACCACCATTCACCCATAGGGCGCCTTCCTGAGAATGAAAAAAGGAGGCAGGTGGTGGTTTTTCCTCCAAGGAACGCAGCCCTGTCCCAGGTGTGGCTTACAGAGTAGAGCAAGGGCTACATTTAGGGCCCTGCTCATCCCCCTGTGAGCAACCTGTACAACAGTTCATGACAGTGCCACGTCACTAGGGGAAAAGTTACCCAAAGCATACATTTCAAAACTGATCATGATTAGCTAGTCATATAAAGAAACATGGCAGTAAAATCAAATTTTTCTTACACAGGACACAAAAGCTCATCCTCAATAGGGAAAATCTTGATAGAGTGGCATAGATTAAGATTAAAAATGTCTGGGGCCGGGGATTTAGCTCAGTGGTTTTGACACCTGCTGCGCAACCACATGGACCCGAGTTCGATCCCTGGTACCAAAAAGATTAAAAATGTTTGTTCCTCAAAACACATTTTAAAGAGTAAAAAGGCAATCCAGAGCCTGGGTGAAAGCACAATACATTTACCTGGTGTGAACTGGTCAACCAGCTCTCCAAGAATGGGAAAGCTCTGATGGGTAATGTTAGCCAAGTTCTGTGGCATAAACGCTCCTGCTGTGCAGACTTCAGGCTACCGACATGACGTCATGGAGCGGGGTTAGGCTAAAATGCAACGCTCAGCTCTCACAAGCAGCATGAGCTGAACCCTGGCACCACTGCATTCACTCACCAGCACAAGTGTGACCACAATCAAAGGACTCCCACAAATCCGTTAGGGAAAAGACAGAACACCTGAAAGCGAATCTGTAAAATGCCTGAACAAGCACGCAGATGACCAAGGAACAGATGAAAAGCAGCTCAACGTCACTGCTCATCCGGGAAGTGAAAGGAGAATCACAATGAAGCTTCACATGTACGTTATCTCTAGAACCGCTTAAATGTTTTTTTGGTACTGGGGATCAAAGTCAGGTGCTTGAGTTTGCAGAGGCAGGCGGCAGAACCACTGAGCTAAATCTCCAGCCCAACTTAAGTGTTTTTAAAGCTGACAGGACAGGGTAAGCATCCCCAATCCAAAATTCCAAAATCTGAAATGCTCCAAAATGCGAAACTTTTTGAGAGATGATGCTCAAAAACAAGCTTTCACAGCATTACGGGATTCAGATTTTCAGATGAGGGATGCTCAGCTGATAAATTCTAAGCAAACACTCCAAGATCCAAAAAGCTCCAAAATCTGAAAGACTTCTGGTCTCAACCACTTCAGATGTGGGATAGTCAGCCTGTACCAAGTGCTGGTGAGTGAATCAAATGGAACTCCCCTACCCTGATCCTGAGGGTGCAGTTTGTACAACCACCGTGGAAAACTGGCAATGTGTGGGGAAACCGAATACGGCCTATTTGTGTCCGGTGACCCCCAAACTTCCTCTCCTAGGTACTGTATGTGCCAACAAAAATGTGTCAGGTTGTACATACTGGAAGGCTCAGGGTAGCCAGGAGTGGTGGTACACATCTGTAATCCCAGCACCCTGGGAGGCTGAGGTAGCAGGATCATGAGTTCAAGCACAGCCTAGGCAATTTATGACTTGGCAAAATAAAAAACAAAAAGGGCTGGTTGCAATGTAGCTCAGTGAAAAGGCCCTGGGGTCAAGCTTCTCTACAAAAAAGGAGAGGAAAGGAAGAAAGAAAGAGAAAAAGAAAGCAGGCAAGCTCCCAATATCACTATTCAGAAAAGCTCAGTGCTAGACTCTCCCCTCATAAATGCCTTGCAGTAGAACAGATAAAGTGTGGCATGTTCGTACAACCAAATATTATGAGGCAAGGAAAATACAGAAACTAAGAGCACACATAACAACATGGGTGAAGGCCCAAACCACAAAGGAGTCGGCGCTTGTCCATGTTGCTATATGGGCTCTTCGTGCATACTTTCTTTTCCCTTTATGTAGAGTTCCAAAACAGACAAGACCACTCTGTGGCATTAGAAGCTGGGGTACTGGTCACCCTGGGGGGCAGTGACTGCATGGAAGTATGAGGGGCTTCTGGGGTCCCCATCATGCTGCCCCTTGACCTGGGTTCAGGTTACGCAGGTGTTCGCTTTGTGACAATCACTGAGCCATCGAGCAGACTGCTTACTGATTCATGTACTTCCCCAAACTCAAATTTCACTGAAATGTTCAAAAATGCATCAATAATATGTGGCCATATGGCTGTACAAAAATATGCCCAACAATAATGCTAACTTGGAATAAAAGGAAGACACAAAATTTACATTCTGAGTTTCAGTTCTGAATGAAAACTGAAAGCGCCGTTTACAGCAGGCATGTTCATCTGCTGTCAGTGTCCACAGTAGTCACTTGCAGGTACATCACAGAGCTAGGAGGAGAAGGACTGTTTTCTGCATGGTGTCAAGGCACGCTTATCCTGGGCCCAAGCTGGGACACAATGGACATGGGCCAAGTTGCACAGGTTGACAAGCAAGGGGAAGCAGTGAGGCCTCACTCCAGAAGGCTGGGCACTGGGGGACCACCAAGAAAATACCTGTTCCTGAAACAATTTCTGCTACTCTATTTTGTAAATTCCAGCATTAGAGACTTATTCCGGTGAACTAAGAGTTGCCCTTCAAAACCGAAAGCATCTCCATGGAAAGAGCAATAAATTAAGACTCCTGGTAGCCACTAACATTTTAGTGTGATTTAATTCTGTCCATAATTTTCTAGTTAATTTTAAAATTTTAATTTAAAAATTGAATTTCTTCCATGAAGGCTAAGTCACCTGAAACCAGAAAGGAAATGGTTATCAGGATGAGTCAGATACATTCAGAAAGAGCTGAGGACGGTAGGGGGCAGGTACCAAGAAGCATGAGAAAAATTTCCAAATCACAACAGAATGTCCCAAACTTGAAGTCTCTGCTCAAGTTTCACCCAAGGGGTACGTACTTGATATCAGAGGATATAAAGGGACTCTGGGCAAATCATCTATGTGATCAAACACAGAAAAAAATAAACAGTACTAGCCAAAAGAAGACCTTTAATATCTGAATCTTTGGGGTTTCAAACTTTAGAGATTCATTTCCTTGGAGTGTGTGCAACCCTGTTTAAGCAACTGCTTTCTAAAAGCAGTGTTCTCTGAGAAGGGAGACACACAGGGCAGTTGCTAGCCACCTTCACCCCATCAAAAT